GCCTACACCGCAGGGCCGGTGGATGCCTCAGATGACAGCTCGGAGGGTGAACCCCTGGTAAGTGGACGCATCGCACCCATCCTCAAGACAGTGACTATATTAATTCCCCCTATTCCCGAAGCCATGAAGGTGAAAGCCTTAATAGACTCTGGCTGCACCCGCTGCCTCATTAGCCCGACACTAGTGGGGAATCTGGGCATTCCATCGAGGAGACTGGAACAACCAATCTCATTTGGCCAGTTAGATGGATCCATAGCAGGGGGGGTGCCAGCTACCCTAGCCATTCTACCAATATACCTCTCCCTGGGCAAACATGAAGAGGATATAACGTTTGTGGTGACCCCAGGCATGGAATGCCCAATGATCCTAGGGATGGAATGGTTAAAAAAATGGAACCCCTGGGTAAATTGGAGGATGACAGAAATCAAATTCCCGAAGGGGGACCCTATGGACTTAAAATACCAAGGGGGGCTACCAGAATCAAGAATAGAAAAAGCATCCATAGGAGAGGAAAAGGGACTAACAGAAATACCAGAGGAATACAGAGACCTTGCTGAAGTTTTCAGTGAGGAGAGAGCGGATGAGCTCCCCCACCGACCCACAGACTGTGCCATTGAATTCAGGCCTGGGGCAAAACTCCCGAAGCCCAGATTATACTCCATGAGCCCAAAGGAGAAGGAGGAAATGGAAAGATTCATTAAAAAAAACCTAGAGAGAGGTTTCATTGAGCCAGCCAAGCCTAACGTGGCTGCCCCGGTCCTCTTTAGAGAGAAGAAGGATGGCTCTTTACGCTTATGTGTGGATTATAGGGCCCTGAATACTATCAGTGAAAGCAACCTATACTCTCTGCCCCTCATGAAAGACATGCTGTCACACCTCTCGAAAGGGAAAAAATTTTCTAAACTAGACCTAAGGGAAACTTACTATCGTGTGAGAATTAAGGAAGGGGACGAATGGAAGACCGCATTTAACTGCCCCATGGGGTGCTATCAATTCAAAGTCTTGCCATTAGGATTACAAGGGGGCCCTGCAGTCTTTATGCAATTAATCAATGACGTTCTAAGGGAGCACCTGTTTAAGGGGGTCCTTGTTTACTTGTTTCTTCACCGAAACAAAAGAGGAACATGTCAACCTTGTCAGAGCAGTTTTAAAGAAACTGCGAGCCGCCCACCTATATGCCAAACTCTCAAAATGCAAATTCCACTAGGAAAGGATAGACTACCTAGGTTATCGCATATCCCCCCAGGGCATTGAAATGGACCCAGAGAAGGTCAGAGCAGTATTAGATTGGGCACCACCCCGCACAAGAAAGCAACTACAAAGTTTCCTGGGCTTTGCAAACTTTTACCACCAATTCATCCTCTCATTTGCCCAGATAGCCTTGCCCCTCACTAAGTTGCTAAAAACAAAGGGAGCATCCTCAGTAAAACCTAGCCAGCCACTAACAGGGACAATGGAGTGCCAAGCAGCACTTGAGAGACTAAAGAGACTTTTTTCTGCCGAACCAGTACTAAGGCACCCAGACATGGATAAGCCCTTCGTAATACAGGCAGATGCAAGTGATGTGGCAGTGGGGGCTGTTCTATTACAAGAAAACGATGATGGAGTATTGCAACCCTGTGCATATACATCCAAGAAACTCACATAAACAGAACAGCACTGGCCTGTATGGGAGAAGGAGGCATACGGGATACGTTCGGCATTATTCACGTGGCAACAGTTCCTGAAAGGCAACAAAATCCCCTTCCAGGTGTGGACTGATCACAAAAATTTGGAAGCCCTGAAAGCACCCAGGAAACTCAATCCCAAACAAGCCCGCTGGTCCCAGCATTTTCACCAATTCCAATTTAAGTTCAAACATTTACCAGGGAGAAAGAATGCCCCAATATAACAGCGCACGAACCACAGACTCTAAACCAATGATGGCAGAGTCACAACTGGCAGCACCAGTAACCACAAGAACCCAAGCTAAATTAAAACCACAACTGGACAGGCAAACTGGAATTGAATTCCGGAAAAGTTTGGAAACAGATGAATGGTTCCAGAAAAAAAATGTGTGCACAATGAGAGACGGGTTGCCTTGGGTAGGGGAAAAGTTATATATACCAACAACCCAAAGAGTCACTTTCATGCACCTTTGCCATGACACAAAATCAGCAGGGCATTTTGGATTTGTAAAAACTTTACACTTAATTAAACGGCAATTTTGGTGGCCATCAATAAAAAAGGACATAGAAAGTTATGTAGCCAGCTGCCCAAAATGTGCTACTGCAAAGAGGTTGCAAGGGAAATCGCCAGGACTATTACAAACAGTGGCAAATCCCTCAGCCCCCTGGAGGGAAATAGCCATGGATTTTATAGTGGAATTGCCAGAAAGCAATGGGAATTCTGTTGCCTGGATGGTCACGGACTTGTTTTCCAAACAGGTGCATTTTATCCCTTGCCAAAAGATTCCCACTGCAAAAGCCTTAGCAAAACTTTTCGTCCAGCACATTTACAGATTGCACGGGACACCCCAACGCATCATCTCTAATAGGGGAGTGCAATTTACATCTGCATTTTGGAAGGAATTTTTATCCCTCTTAGGGACCACTCAGGGACTGACATCTAGCCATCATCCACAAGGGGATGGACAAACAGAACATTGTCATTCAATACTTGAGCAATATTTGAGATGTTTTTTGAATTTCCAGCAAAATGATTGGACGGACTTACTCCCTTTTGCAGAAGTTGCCTACAATAATGCAGCCCACTCCAGCACAGGTTACACTCCTTTTCAAATAGCCAATAGTCAAAATTTCAACCCCATGCCAGAATTAACCCCAAACAAACCAACAATCCCATCACTGAAAGAATGGATGGAACAATTACAGGGCACCTGGCCAATAGTTAGAAAAGCACTAGATGAAGCTAGGCAGGTATACAAAGCACAAGCCGATAAAAAAAGGGTTGAGCCTACACCATTCATTATAGGAGAAATGGTGTACTTATCTACAAAATACCTAAAGTCCCTACAGCCCTGTAAAAAACTTGGACCAAAATTTATAGGGCCTTTTCCAATTAAAAGAATCATAAACCCAGTAACAGTAGAATTAGAATTACCCAAAAATCTCAGGCAAATATACCCAATTTTTCATTGCAGCTTGCTGAAAAGAGAGCGTCAGTCAGCGTTACAGCCAAAAATCCCCCCCACCATCTCCAATCATGGTTGAGGGCGAGCAACACTTCGAAATAAAGGAAATCCTTGACTCTAGGAGATATCATGGAGCGACTCAGTACCTAGTTGCCTGGAAACACCTCCCTCCCTCACAAAACGAGTGGGTCCATAAACGTCATGTCAGAGCCCCGAAGCTATTGAAGAAGTTTCACACAGAATATCCTAACAAGCCTGACTAACTTTTATACCTGTTTTGTTTTCTTTCAGGTGGATCTGTCTTATTTTTGAGGGGGCAGGATGTCAGAATCCAATTATATTTCATCTCTAGTTATCAATTATAGAAAACCCCATTTCTGCCTTCTATGGATTCTGTCATACGATGAAGGGAAGGGGGTGAACAAAGGGGCTTTATGGCCCTCACTTCCTTTGGTATACTTCAAAGGAACTGGATGTGTGTATCACCAAAAGGACTAACCATAACAATGGGGCTATTACATTTCATGTAGTTTTCTCTGAAGTCTCCATCCAGCCGGCAGTAAGGAAAACAGGATGGGAGTGTAATGCCTGAGACTGTCGCTGGAAGAAGGGGGTGATTGGGTGGGGCTACTGAGGAACCTCTTAAAACCTTGAATGGGAGAGCTTGGACCCCAAGTCCTGTCTAGAACGCCTGCAACCATTTTTTCTTAATAAAGGATGCCTGTTGGAAGAATTATTCCAAAAGTTCTGTCTTCTTAAGATGCAAAGTGTGGTGGGTCCTTACACATAGTAACAAGGCAGAGGTGTCAAACTCGCTGCATCATGTGATGTTTTGTGACATATCATGAATTTTTTTCCCCCTTGCTGGAGCTAGGGTGGGCATTGCTTCTATGTGACACATCCAGCCCGCAGGCTGGCAATTTGACACCCCTGATCTAAGGGGTTGCCAGAAAAAGAGGGAGTCAACCTATTCTCCAAAGCACCAGAGGGCAGGACAAGAAGCAATGGATGGAAACTAATCAAGGAGATAATTAACCTAGAACTAAGGAGAAATTTCTTGAGAATTAGAACAATTAATCAGTGGAATGACTTGCTTCCAGAAATTGTGGGTGCTCCAACACTGGAAGTTTTTAAGAAGAGATTCGACAACTATTTGTCTGAAATAGGGAGTTAGACTAGATCTCCAAGGTCCCTTCCAACTCTGTTATTTTGTTCTGTTACTAAGATATATTTAACTGGTTCTATTAATATGCTATAAGCATTTTTTTTCAAAGTGGTATAGAATAGGATAGGATAGGATAGGATAGGATAGAGCTGGAAGGGACCTTGGAGGTCTTCTAATTCAGCCCCCTGCTCAAGCAGAAGAACCTATACCATCTCAGACAAGTGACCATCTAGCCTCTTTTTAAAAATCTCCAGTGATGGAGTGCCCATGATTTCTGGGGGCAGGGTATTCCACTGATTAACTGTCCTCGTTGTCAGGAAGTTTCTCCTTAATTCCAGGTTGCTTCTCTCTTTGATCAGTTTCCAACCATTGTTTCTTGTCCTACCCTCTCGTGCTTTGGTGAATAATGTGACCCCCTTTTCTTTGTTGCAGCCCCTCAAATACTGGAATACTGCCATCATGTCTCCCCTATTTCATCTTTTCTTTAGACTAGCCAAATCCAAGTCCTGCAGCCATTCTTTGTATGTATTAGTCTCCAGACCTTTGATCATCTTAGTTGCTCTTCTCGGATTTTTTTTCAAACTCTCAATATCTTTTTTGTGATATGGTGACCAAAATTGCCTGCAGTACTCCAGGTGTGGTCTTATATAAGGAAGAATGTATAATTATTCTTCTGTTATTAATCTGATCTATTTTTTTCAGGTGAATACACAGTGATGACAGCTCATTTTCATTTGAAGAGGAAAATTGGTTATTTTGTGATTCAGACCTATCTTCCCTGCATCATGACAGTCATTCTGTCTCAGGTGTCATTCTGGTTGAACAGAGAATCTGTTCCTGCAAGGACAGTTTTTGGTATGTAGTCAGTAATAATTTATTATTTATTTATTACACACACACACACACACACATATCTTTAATTGCATTAAAAACACGAATCCTGGGTGTGTGCATGTTAGAAAAACAAAAGAAATCGAGCACCAGAATAAAAGTATAAACAAAACTGTTTAATATAAAACCACTTAGCTTTCATCGGCCAAACTGCTGACATCGTCAGAGTGAAAGTAAAGAATTTGGGAGTTTACTTATATGGCCAGCTGCTTCTGCACCCTGCTCCTTGAGTGAGTCACCGGTCCATTTGCTTCAATCAGCCATAATGCTTCTAGTTGTCCCACACCTATCAGCATATTGGAGAGTTCACAAGCTGTTCCCCTGCCTGCAGTCGCTCCCTTAGTGCGCGTGCAAATGCCCAGAGGCTGGTTATCCATCCGCTTTTGCTCTTTGCTCCCCTCCCACCTTTCTTCTAACCGAGCCTGAACGTACGTCCCAGAGTTGAATTCAGGGCACGCTACAGATTCATTGTCCTCCCTGGGGGTCATGGTTGTTTCATCTACAGCCATGCTGTTCTGATCCTGCAAGGACCTTGCCCATAGACCAGATCAGACCCTGCGTACTAGGATTGTGCACCCCAAAGAGCCACTCTCCAATAATGAAAGATCTTCTGTCATATACAGAATTAAGGGTAAAAATTGCCCATGCAATTATGTTGAGGAAACAACTAAAAAGCTCAAAACCAGGGTCCATGAGCATGAGTTGGCGATCAGAAGACAAGAACAACCCTCAAGGTATGGGCTCATATGGCCAGCCATGGCCATATGTTTGATCTTGCCAATGCTGAGGCCATATGCCATGATGCCACCAAGGGTGGCTGTTTGCTCAAGGAGGCCTGGCTATCTAACGAGGACTTGATTAATCAACGCATAGACCTACAACTTGCTTACCAGACACTCAGAAGGTGGGAGGGACAGCACCGAAACTCACGACAAATACAACCACTCCGTTCCTTCCAGGATCAGAACAGCATGGCTGTAGATGAAACAGCCACGACCCCCAGGGAGGACAATGAATCTATACCTAAAAGAAATAGTTCTGGTTTATAGTCTACATGTGTTCATGTCATCTTCTTTAGCCAGTTATGTATTTTTGACCAAAAGTTCTTTGCTTTAGGGCATGTCCAGATGGTAATATGTGCCTGGATTTTGTCTACATTTCCAACATTTGCTAGACATATTTTTAAACATTTTTGCTAATCTTGCAGGTGGTAAGTGTCATCTATAGAACATTTTATATAAGTTTTCTTTATAAGTAGCTGCCCTTGTTATTTTATAGTTTCTTTCCCATAAGTTTTGCCATTTTTCTAACTCTACATTGTGCCCAAAATTTTTCCCAAGTTATCATTGTTTCATCTTCCATCTTTAAATTTAACAGAAAACTATACAGTTTCTTAATCAGTTTGTCATCTGATGACAATAGTGTCTGGTCAAACGCTGTCTGATCTTTGTAAAAACCATATATTTTTGCATCTTTCTCGTATCTCATTTGCATTTGGAAATGTGGCAACCATGATAGCTCTATGCCCTGTTCTTCCAATTCTTGTTTAGGTTGTAGTTTCCCATCAGTATTCAAAATATCTTGATAGGTCACAGGTTTCTCACAATTAATTAAATTTGGGTGTACAAACGCCTCCATTGTCGAAATCTATCCTGGTATTTTCATGTAAATTCTTGATTTTATCTTTTCCCATTTCGGAAGCAATGCATTTCTTAGACAGTGATTTTGAAAGTATTTATGAATTGTGTTCTTCTCATACCATAGAAAGGCGTGCCATCCAAGTTGTAGGTATTATACAACTCTAGGTATAATAATCTTTTATTTCTAAGGATTATCCATTCTTTTAATCATGTTAGTGCAGCTGCTTGATAACATAAAACTCAATCTGGTAGTCCAAAGTGTCCATTTTCTTTCGCTTCTTATAACATTTTCAATCTAATTCTAGCCTTTTTCCCTTGCCAAATAAATTTTAATATTGATGCATTTAATTCATCAAAAAAAATTGTTTGAAATAAAAAAGTAGTTTTGGTAGGATTTTCATTCTCACAGTCGCTATTCTTCCCAAAATTGATAGTTGTAATTTTTTCCCCATTTTTCCAGGTCTAGTTTTATTTGTTTTAGTAATTTTACGTAGTTGTCTTCTTTTATTGTTGGGCACCTTTCTGTTAGATATATCCCCAAGTATTAGAGCAGAGCTTTTCAACCGGTGGTACGCATACCACTTGTGGTACTTTGCCACATGGCAGGTGGTACGTGATTGCTAGCCAACTGTAGCAGGGGAGGGGAATGAGCCAAAATGAGCCAAGCCTGAGGGAGAGGCAGCTGCAGCTGCAGGACTGGCAGAAGCGGCAGGACTCCAGCTGATTGGCGCTTCCGGAAGTAGCTTGGAGCTGGAGGTGAACTGAAGAAAAGGGGGAGAGAGGAGAGGCTATAAAAGAACTAGTTTGGGTGGGGGAAGGGGAAAAAAGACATCAGGAAAGGTTTAATCCCTTTAAACAAATGTAATTAGTTTTACCCCCTTTAATTGAGTCTGTCTGTGGCTTTTAGAAAGTTTTCTTTGAAGGTAAACAGGCTTAATTTAAAGCTAAAGCTCTTCGCAATTGCCAGAGCCTTTCAGTCAAGGATTGCAACATAGTGACATGTGACAAGCCTGAGCCAGCTTAAAGAGAAAAAAACGGAGTTTGTGTTTCTTTATTTTCTTGCTTTGCACTTGATTCCTGTTTCTTTAAGGGTACAGGGAAGGGATTGGAGAAGCTCAGAAGGGCCAACCAGGTAGCTCAGGAGTCTATAAACTTAGCAACTTTAAGAGCTGTGGACTTCAACTCCCAGAATTCCTCAACCAGCCATGAGGGCTGAGGAATTCTGGGAGTTGAAGTCCACAAGTCATAAAAGTACAAAGTTTGAATTCATCATACATTTGTCAGTGCAAAGGGAAAGTGATTCAGCAAAGGAACAGCCACAGAAGAAATTAAAACTGGTACTTTTTTTCTTTTTTTCTACAGTTTGTAATATTTTATTAGATTATAGAATAAAATACAAAAATACAAAAGCAATAGTAGGACACAGTGGTGAGGAAAAAGGGGGGAAAGTGAGGGGAGAAGGGAAAAAGAACATACTTCCTCTGTTGCAGTAGAAGGAAGCATTAACATTGAACCTCAACTTTTTACTTCTCCATAATATTGTAAATTAGCCATTTCTGTTTGGACAAAACTCAGCAGCACTTTTTCGTGTGGCTGCTGATAAAAACAGGATCGCCAACATGATCGCCAACGTCCAATAATGGATATGGCACAAGAAGAAGAAGAAGCCATTTCTAAGCACCTGAAGGCAGGACAAGAAGCAATGGGTGGAAACTAATCAAGGAGAGAAGCAACCTAGAACTAAGGAGAAACTTCCTGACAGTGTAAGGACCCACCCCACTTTGCATCTTAAGAAGACAGAACTCTCGGAATAATTCTTCCAACAGGAATCCTTTATTAAGAAGAAGTGGTTGCAGGCATGCTAGACAGGACTTGGGGTCCAAGCTCTCCCATTCAAGGTTTTAAGGGGTTCCCCAGTAGTCCCACCCAATCACCCCTCCTTCCAGTGATAGTTACAGGCATCACAATTCCACCCCTTTCTTCCTTTCTTCCGTCTGGATGGAGACTTCAGATAAACTACATGAAAGGTAAATAGCCCCTTTGTTATGGTAAGATTCTTTGGTGTTAACTAGTTCAAACTCTTTGAGGTTGCAATAAACACATTCAGTTTCTTAGAAGTATACTGAAGGAAGTGAGGGCCATAAAGCCCCTTTGTTCTCCCCCTTCTCTCCCTCTTATGGCAGAATCCAGAGAAGGCAGAATTGGGGTTTTCTATGTTTGATAATTAAAGATGAAATATAATTGGATTCTGACAGACAGTGAGAACAATTAATCAGTGGAACAGCCTGCCTCCAGAAGCAGTAAATGCTCCAACACTGGAAGTTTTTAAGAAGAGACTGGACAGCCATTTGTCCAAAATGGTGTAGGGTTTCCTGCCTGAGCAGGGGGTTGGACTAGATGACCTCCAAGGTCCCTTCCAACTTTACTACTATTACTATTACTAATCAGTAAAACCCCAAATCCCCCCCCCTTTTTGACACCTTGCTAAACACTGGTGGTACTTAAATATTGTCATGTCCTAAAAGTGGTACAATCTGTGAAAAGGTTGAGAAGCCCTGTATTAGAGTACCCTAATTAACCCTAACCCTTTCTTAACTACTTGAATATCTGTTTTTTTCTGACAATTGGTTTTTTTGTTTATCTGTAAGATTTTTAACTATAACTTTAGTCTTTTCTCTATTTATTTTCAGTCCTGCTACTTCTCCAAATGCTTTAATCTTTGCTACTAATTTAGGACTTGTCTCCAACAAATCCTCTAATATAAATACTAAGTCATCCACGAATGCTTGTAATTTGTACTTTTCATCTTTTATCTCCATTCCTTTAATTTCTGAGTCCTGTCTAACATTTCTGTTTAACAGTTCCAAGGTTAAAATAAATAATAGTGGGGATAGTGGACACCCTTGACTTGTACCTTTTTTAATATTGAAATTCCCCGTAAGATCTTCATTCACAATTATTTTAGCTGTTTGTCTGTGATAAATTGTTTTGATTGAATTTATAAAGTTTTCTCCAAAATCCATATAGTTTAATTGTTGAACCATAAATTGCCAATTGACATTATCAAAAGCTTTCTGTGCATCTGGCAATGCCATTTGTTTCCCTGGATGCATTTCATAATATTCCAATGTGTCTAAAATCATTCTTAAATTATTCTTTATTTGTCTCTTTGGTAAGAATCCATTTTTCAATCAAAAATCTCTTTAATCTTTTTGCTATTATTGAAGCAAAGATTTTATAATCCACATTTAGTAGAGATATTACGCTGTAATTCTTTATCTGGGTCAAGTCTGAGTCTTCTTTTGGTATTAGCGTAATATTGGC